ACTACTTTACAAGGGTTACTTATACTACATTTCTGCTTGATAAAAACAATTTTTAATAGCTGGACGTTATAGTGGGCACCTGTAGTCCCAGCTACTTGGGAGGCTAAGACAAGAGAATTGCCTAAACCCAAGAGCTAGAGGTTGCTGTGAGCTGTGACACCACAGCACTCTACCAAGGGCAATAAAGTGAGACTCTGTCTCTAAAAAAAAAAGAAAAGAAAAGAAATTTATGTTTTAATTTATCCCTTTATACCTTGTTCATTTATTTAGTAGTCATCTTAGAAATAAAATTTAAAAATCCTCAGTTAGCTTCAGGTTTCTTTTTTTTTTTTTTTTTGAGAAATAGAGTCTCACTCTGTCACCCCAGTTAGAGTGCTGTGGCCTCAGTCTCGCTCACAGCAACCTCAAATTCCTGGGCTCAAGTAATCCTCCTGCCTCAGCCTCCCAAGTAGCTGGCACTGAAGGCACCTACTACAATTGCCCAGCTCTTTTTTCTCATTTTTAGTAGAGGTGGGATCTCACTTTTGCTCAGGCAGGTCTTGAACTCCTGAGCTCAAGTGATCCTCCTGCCTCAACCTCCCTGAGTGCTGGGATTACAGGTGTGAGCCGCCACACCTAGCCTGCCTTCAGGTTTCTTGCTTTTGCCTCTTTTGCCTCATTAAAAGGTTCCAAGATTAATATATAAAAATTGTTGCTCTTTGCTAAGTGGAAAGTAAATCAACGAAATGGAAGCTTTCTCCTCTTCCACTGGTTTTCTATGTAAAACTATGCACGCATGCACACAAACACACACAATCCTTACAATCAAGTTTCTCATAAGTGAGCAAGTAACACATGCTTACAGCAAAGGACGAAAGGCCTCCCACACCCTCCAGGAAAGCTGCTGTGCCTTAAGACTATAAAGTAACAATTTCTCCTACATCCATCATGCACTGAATCTGTGTTCATTTGAAAGATGACAGGCCACTCAGCACATCTGCCAGGAGCAAAGACGTCATCAGATATGACTGTGAATTTAACCTGTGCCCAGTTGACAGTTCCTATTATGAGCTGAATTGTGTCCCCCACTCTCCAGTTTTAACCCTCGTACCTCAGAGTATAACAGTATTGGATGATTCGGTCCCTAAAGTTGATGAAGTAATGAAGTTAAAACGGGGGCTTTAGGGTGGGCCCTAATCCAACCTGATGGGTATCCTTGTAAGAAGAACAACTTTAAAACAGACATCCGGGATGAAGAAAGGTCACATAGAGACATAGAGAGAAGATAAACCAAGAGAAAGGACCCAGAAGAAACTAAAACTACCAATATTTTAATCTCCAGAACGATGAGTCAATGAATTTCTGCTAGGCCACCCAGTCTGTGGTATTTTGTCACGGCAGCCCTAGCAGACTAAGACAGTACTCCTAATTTACATCAAACGCCAAATTCTTCTAACCCACTGAAACTCTACTCTGAGTGATTAAGAATGTGAAGGAAGGGCGGCACCTGTGGCTCAAAGGAGTAGGGCACCGGCCCCATATGCCGGAGGTGGCGGGTTAAACCCAGCCCAGGCCCAAAAAACTGCAAAAAAAAAAGAATGTGAAGGAAAACCACCATAATTTTCTCAAAATACACAGCTATTATTAATTAGAATATTCTTAAATTTTCACATCAAGTATTATAAAAATCAGAGGTGCCTTTGAAAATGGGGCACAGAGAACCAGCACATGAAAGAGGGGGCAGAGCTTAAGTGTAAAACCCCAGAAGAATTCCATCTAAGCTCAAGTGATAGGTAATTAAATTAACAATATAACTCTGTAGTTTCCCAAAATAACTCAACCACTAAGTAGGAAAGTCATTGGAGCTTTGAGGTCTGAACTAGAAAAGCAGCTTCCAGGCTGATTTTTCATTTTAACCCATGGGTAACAGAGGCTTAAACAAAACCAGTAAAGATTCCAGTTGCTTATAGAATAGCTACTAAAAGCAAAAACGAGGCTTAAGATTAATGTGCCTGTGTTCAGAGAACCGTGTTCAAAAAATTGGTATTTTAGCCGAGCGTTGTGGCGGACACCTGTCGTCACAGCTACTCAGGAGGCTGAGGTAGGAGAATCTCCTAAGCCCAGGAGTTGGTGGTTGCTGTGAGCTGTGATGCCACAGCACTCTACGGAGGGCAATAAAGTGAGACTCTGTTCTCTAAAAAAAAAAAAAAAAATTGGTATTTATTTAAAAAGTCAGCTCTGACCAATTATTGCAACTTTTTTTTTTTTTTTTTTGGGGTGAGGAAGGAGAGACTTTCAAAATTAGAAGAATAATTCCAAGAACAATCCTTACTAACCAGAGGAGACATGGAGACTGAGGGTGGGAGAGACAGGGAGCACAGGCAGCTCCAGGTGTGTCTGGGATCACTCTGGCTGAGGAGCAGGCCTGAGCTCACAGTGGGAAGGGTACGGCAGGGAAAGGTGCAATGGGCATTCACAGACAGAGGTGGGCACTCACGGTGCTGCACTGCCCCAATGGCTGGGAAGCCCAGGCCAAGAAAAGCCCAGCTCAGAGAATCCCTGACAAGAAGCAGAGCTTTAGGGTCTGACATGAACCAATCAGTTTTCTGACTACTGATGCCAGATGTAATTAATCGAGTTTTCTGTAACACGCAGTCAGATGACTCACAAAGACCTTCACTATTTCCTGAACTGCATTCCCTGGATTTTTTTCCAAACTCATATTCATGTACTAACTGTACAATTTAGAATTTTTTGTGTTCAAAGCAGATAAGAACTAATTAAACATGGGGGGGATTTTAAAACAACTTTAAATGATTCAGTGATTTGGTATAATAGGTAAATTTCAACAAACTCAACATCCTGGCGAGTCCAGGCTGCAGTACCACCACAGACTAGTGGAGGCTGTATTAGCAGATCTAGCGTCCCGTTCTTACTGTGCCCTCAACGGTGAGAAGGGTCATGGAGCTCTCCAGACCCTCTTTTATAAGGACACTAATCTCTTTCATGGGGGCTCTGACTACATGCCCTCCTAACATCATCACACCGGGTGAGAGCAGGCAAGAAGCTGCTAGCTAGCAGAAGTCAGGAGAAAGGCCCTGTTCACTGCCCCTGTGCATACAGAACCGGGGAGCTGCCATGCCCGAAGCACTTCACACAAACTGAATCTTCGCGGGGAGACCAAGGCACCGAGAAACACCTAACTGGCCTGAGGTCAAGCAGCTGACAAGCACCAAAGCTGGGACACAAACCCAGGTGGCCCGGCTTTGGACTCAGTACTTAGCTAC